GGAGAAAGTACCTGGAGTATATGTTGAAAATTTCTGATGAATGAGCTTCAGTGTTGTAATTCATAGTTTTACTACTGTTATTCACTTCATTAATTTCTTGCTTTCGTGGAATAGATACTTTTTTGATACTTCTCACTTAATTCTGCCTGTTATGGAAATGTCATTTGTCAGATCTAAATATAATTATTGGAATAGAAAATCAAATTAATCCTTTAGAAGAACTGAAACCAAATGATTTAAAAGTAAGTCAAATGCATTTTTAGTGATTAATTTGCTTGAAAGCAAAAAGTATAATGTAACTCGCAGAGTTCTGACGGAATCAAGTTATTTTTGAAAAGTTTGATTTGTTTATACCATTATGCTGCAATATTTGCATTGAAGAAAATAAAGCTAACTACCAACAGAGAAGAACAACAAAGAAAATGGTATAAATTGTTTTTAACAACTTTTTTAAAGTGTCTTTTGCAGCTAATGAAACTAATTGTAGGAAAGCATGCTCTTATGTATGAAATTTATTTACTTTTCTACAGGCTAGGCAATGCCATCAAACAAAATTATGTATTCTCTCATACATTATAACTAGTTTTAAAAGGGAAAGAAAAAAAACTGCTCTTCTGTTGGTATTTATTTGCAAACAGTCAGAGGAAAGTGAGGAGCGCATAGAGTTCAGCATGCTGTTAGCTTGCTGGTGGGAGGGTGGTCAATGTATGAATGTATGTAGTGGTCTATCTTTGCTGCTTTAGTTTTACTGCACCAGTGCTCATTGCAACAGGAGATGGGTGACTATAGTTGCTGCTTGCTTGAGGTGGGAGTATTGTGCCCTTTTTTTGACCTTTTGCTGAGGTCTGGTGGCAACTGTCCGCTTCTGAAGTCTGGGTTATATGTTGTCCATTTGGTGGTGGATGCAACATCGCCTATATATATAGAAGTAGTAGTAGTAGTAAATATATGTATGTGTGTGTGTGTCTATATATATATATATATATATATATATATATATATATATATATATATATATATATGTATGTATGTATGTATCTATCTACTACTACTACTACTACTACTACTACTACTACTACTTCTGCAGTTATTGACTCTAGACAGTGACATGTGGAAATCTTTCCAAGGCACACATTAGTCCCATGATACAGATATAATTTGGCTTCCATTTACTTAAATTGAATTTTGGCTCAAGTTAGCTTCAAAAATGCCCAAAGTTATGTTATTAATTGTTATTTTCTTCTTGCTTTCTTTTTTTTCTTTTTCTTTTTTTTGAACTTTCAGTTTTGCTGTGTATATATAAGCATTACATTGACTACTTACCCCAAGCCATTATTTCTTGATCAACAACCGATCAAAGTAATTCATGCAGGTCTGACGAAAATGAAGTTGTTGATCTAAGTAATGCATTCAGAATGAATAATGAGGAGGATTAATCCACATAGTAAAGTATTTGCAGTTTCTAATATGAATTGTGTTTCTTTCATAATGTTGAAATATGAAACTATTGTATCCTGACTTCAAATAAAATGCTCTCACTGCAATTAGTGGCCTTATAAATAAAGACAATACATTATAAAAAATGAAGAGAAATATTAAAAGAAAATGGACCAATCTATTTTTTATGTGAAATATCAGTATTTTTTGGGACTGATGTATTTAATAAATGTTTCATTTTATGTCACTCGTGACTACTGGAATAAGTTTCAGTACTACTACTTCATTTTTGGTTTCTTAAATAATCTCACTAATATGTGAGTAAATATTTTAAAAAATGCACTGCACTATTTTGTATTGCTTCTCACTGTTAGCAAAATCTTTCTAAGCACTGTTGATCTGCTGCACTGCACTGTGCTTGATTTATCACAATGTTCATAGTATTTACTTTTGGCAATTGCAGATTTGTAAAACAGAAGTAGTTTAAATTATTCTTTTGTTTTCAATAGTATCTTGATGGAAGATGCTGTTCACTGCAACAATGTGTATGTTTTCATTTCATGATTATATAAACTGCATACAACCTTTGAAATATTGTTCATTTGTTTTTTTATATAAAATTCATTGGCAAAAGTGAAAACTTATCATTGTGAAAAGGATAAATTACATTTCATTTTAGAATTGCTTTGTATTTGGTTGTCACTTATGCGGTGTTGTGACACCTAAAACAGATTATTCCACTTCACTAAGAAATGGACAGCAGCTAGCCTTCAGACATCATTCAGCAGCAAAGTTTGCCATGAACATAGGGTGTAACCTGCATCTTAAACTAATTGCCCCAGTTCAGATGCAGAAGCAAAGAAAATAATCTTGTGGAGGTGCCCAGAAGATCTAATGCAGTGGTTCTTAGCAGCAATACATGCACACCTAGGTACCAGATAGTGGAAATTCTATTCAAACACCTTTTAATGTGTTGTGGATCATTTTCACTTAATGATTTTAGTAATTAATTTATGGTAGCTTGTTACAGTTTCTGAGAGTTGCTACACTAATTGTTCTCTCAAAGTTTTCAGTTAGAGATTTTTTCAAATAAAATTCATATAAAAAAATTATCCTAATAGTCTTGAAGTCTATTTGGTATCATTGTTCATAGGAGTGCATGTAGAGCAAGAGCTGGCAAACAGTGGAACCTGGATTGAACAAATCCTTGTCCAAATTTATCCTATTCCGACTAAAAACTTTTGCTTCCTCAAGACCCCAAAGAATACCTGCTAAATCAAGAGAGAGTTTATTTGTATTATAAAGGATATATTTGTTGTCATTTGAGACTTAAGTGGTTAAATAAAAATGTTTATTATATATGTACCAAGAAGTATTCATTTAACATACAAGTATTTGTAATCTAAGAGATGTTCATCAAATATTTATTATTTACCAGCTATGTGTGTCCAGAACTGTTCTGTTTTACCTCAAAATATCATGGAGTGAGTAAAGCGTGAAGTTTGGCATTATTTTTAAAATGCTTTTGGTTACTAAAACTTTCCATAATTCTGGACCATTAAAAATCAATTGTTGTATTTATACTAATATAAAAGAGGGTTTTTTATAAATATCTTTTTTGAAAAATTTGGGAGCCTCTTACATTTGCTGATTAAGCCTAGTTAGAATTTATGAATTTATATTGCCTTTTCATGTCACAAAACTCGTAAATGCTGATGTAAAAATAAGCCGCAAAACAATAAATTTGTTACGCGTAATACTTAATTATTTTCGTGGGCATATTCTTGGCATCCACGAATTTGCCTGGCAACTCAGCTCAATATTGCTTTGTCATATACGTATGTGTATAACAATGTTGTGTAGAGAAAGTTATGTAATGCTACGGTTAGATTTTAATTGATTTTTTTTTTCTTTTGAAATGTCCAACTGTTAATCCTATCCACAAACAACTCTAACACCTAATATATTTGTAGGATTTGTGCACAAATGACTATTTCCCATTTACTGTGACTTGACTCAAAGCCCTGTGATTTTGAAACAGATAGTGCTAAATACATTGAATACTTATACCATTTTGATGTATTCTTTTAATTTTTACAAAAATTACACAAAGGTAATTTTTTGAAATATCTCTAAATAGTCAATATTTATATTATGGGCATTTTTTTAATGTTATTACATTTGTAAACACAAGAACTTCTACTTATTCCTTTTGAAGTTTCTCGAAAACTCAAAATTTTTCTGGGAAAATTAATTCAAAATTGCACATTTTCAGATATACTCAAATGACATTTCTCAAGAACAGCTTCAAATTTTTCTGTGAAAATATGCATATAGAACAGTGTTGTACTTTTTTGTAATGTTGTAATATTCTTAAAACATATTTCAATTATAATATTACTGGATTGAAAAAAATTGAGAAAATGTGAAAAATGTTGTATAGGTGCCAATAAAAATAGCAGCTGGGAAGAAGGTGGGGCAAAGCCGAAAAGCTAGGGGCCAGACTAAAGAGATATTAACAATAGTACGAGAACATCTGTGCCATTCTGCAGCACCTAGTTTCTAGTTTTTAAAGGCCTCTAAAGAGAGAATCTCAAAGGATTGGCATTGTATGAAGTAAAATTCATTGTATGCTGATTGATGAAGCCACATGAATACCTTCATTTGCCATTCAGCAAGTAATATTTTCTTAGAAAAAATTTCCCAAACTTGGAAACTTGCCTTTATCTCTCCTGTTACTCGCGTTACAAAGGGATGTAGATGCACAAGTTCACAGTTTACAACTCTTATCACAAAAACATTAAACAACAATAATTTTAAACATTTTTCTGTTAAAGAATCAGAGGTTGGGAGAGCAAGAGCAAGTCGGGAAGAAAATCTGACACGGAAGGCAATGTTCTTAAGTCACATCAGATGAGACCAAGAACCTAAATTCAATGCAAAAAGCTTTCAGCGTTAAAAGTCAGAGGACTATGCAGTATTGGATAGAAAGAAACAATCATATATGTGAAGATGAAGATGTTAGCTACAAAAACCATGATTAAGATGATTTTAAAGAACAGGAAAATAGTGAGAGCTCAGGCAATACATTTTAACTCTCATCAAAATAATTTTGTAGTAAATTCTATAAATTATAAATAATTCTATATAGTTTATAGAATTATGATAAGGCAGCCACTCACCCATTAGTGGCAACAATTGAGACTTCAAACCATGGGTTACACCATAGAGAAAATATGGTCAATGGTTACCGAGAATGATTATCCACTCAAACTTGTTAATATCGCAAAGGGATAAATATTAGTGTCTTCAGCGTTCTTGTAAGTGGATTTGTAATAGAATTAATATGACTTCAGGTTTACATGTTTCTAGATAATAAATGGGCTTCTCCTTTTATCCCCCTTGTATTCCTGAACTGAAAGTTTGCCAGCTCCTGCTGCAGAGCAAGTGCAGTGCCCCTGGGCTGAATGTTGACTTGATGTTGTGTTTTGTCCGCGACTAGGACTCCCTGGGCCTGTCGCTCGAGCGCTTAGACTCTCCGGCAGAAGCGGTCAGTACCTCTTGTTCTCTGCTAGTAGCAGCATGCGTATGGTGCATGAGCAACTGTGCATGAAGCAATGGTTATGTTTTTGAGTGAACTTGCATGCCTTTGCTGCAAGTTGTATGCCTTCCTCAAATCCCTGCTATAGCAGTGATTTGATATTTGACTTCTGTTTTCCGTAGCAGGTTATGTGGGAGCTGAATACTGCATTTTGTCATTAAAAATGTATTTTTTTGAAAATAATATTAAAGTAGATTTGTACAAATTACCTGGAATCAAGTGTGAATGTGAGTATGTAATATTTAGTCTATAAACAATCATCATTATACATCAGCATAAAATTTAATAATTAAAATTCATAAATTTACTTGTAATTGAAAAATTGATTATTTCTTCTAATGTGTTTGAAGAAGTTTGAGAAAAATAATAATTGCAAATAATAGTTGAATCACCACTTATTGAGTAATTGAGTTTTGCAATGTTTGGATTTCTTTGGCATGCAAAAAAAAAAAGAGGGTACCAAGATATCGTGTAATGTTCCAAAACTGTGTTCATTAATTTGTTTGCACTGCTAGTCATTCAGTTTTTTGTTTGTTTGTTTTGTTTTCCAGCTTCCCTGCCAACTTTAACTTTCAGATGTTATTATGGTTAATTCATTTTCAGACAATTTTACTCATATTTTTTATTAATATGTGAGGTCTTTTACTTTTTCCCTCACAGCTTTTTGCTATTATAAATTTGTTTGAAAATAACAATGGTTTTCTTTTTTTAGAATTTGTTGAGGTTGTGGTTCTTTTGCCCATATTGCTGTTGTATGCTGCAATGAAGTTGCAGCATTGCTTTATACTGCTAATGGGATGTAGTTATTCTTTTTAACATTGCTTTTATACTAACCATTAGATTAGTAATAATGGGTTTGTATTCCTCGTGAGTAATGTTTGTAAAAAACTGAATTGTTTTACTGAAACAGATTAACTATTCTGTTACAGATTTAGATTTGTTTTTTGTTGTTTTTTTTATGGGTGGAATAACATTGTAACCCTTTGGATACCTAATTGTAAAATATTCATAATTCAACCATGAATTGTGTTTTTTCTATCTCATTAAATATTGTTTCTAGTTTTTCTTTACAGTTCTCTGGTTATATCTCTACTTCCACCTCTACATAAAATCCGACTTATAATGTTTAGTTGAGTACTAAGCACTAGCTGCATGCACCCCTCTTTGGGTTAAATGACACATTTGAAATTCTGCAGCTGATCATTATTATTATTATCATTATTGTTATTATTATTATTATTATTATTATTGTGATTATCATTATTAGTTTAGAAAAACCTTGTTGAACTATTAGTAGATTTTTGTGAGTTCATTGAACACCCATCAAAGTTACTTTTTCCCCTAACATTCAAAAAGTCCTGTTGTGAACAATAAGAGAATCTGTGCACGTTAATAATTAAATGTGTAGTGCCTTAAAAAATGTTTTTATACAAAATACTTCATTAGTTACCTAAAACTGCAGTCACATGAGACAAATGTAGTTTTTGGAGTTACGGAATATTCTCTTTCAAATGCCATTGCTGTACGGCTGACTGAAAAAGTTGATGCTATTTTGATTGTCCAATTTACACTTGTTTGCGTGTTTTCCTTTTGTTAATTTTAATGAACTAATGATTTTCACAATTTTAATTATATACAATACAATATAATACATTAGTCTAATGATAAAAAGCAATTTCTTTAAAACAATTTTTTGCAATAAATGTTTTAAATTTGCTGTACTACTTTGACTACCTAGCTGTCTCTAAATAAAGGAAAACATTGGAATAACTAACAGAAAAGGGTTCAGATCCTCTTCCAATGAATTGAATAGTAATATGACAAGAAAACTCGTTAGCAATATTTTCTTCAGAATTAATTATTTAGTTTATTTTCAAAAAGTTTATGTGAAATCCATTCATGATATTGGTTAGTTTTCTAGCATTCACTTCTCAGGAATGAAAACTCACACCAAATATTTTATACATTCTTTGCTACTTTCCTTTTCATTATGGTCTGGTCTCACCACGAAGCTGCCAGGACAATATTTATGTCCTACGCATCTTTAGACCTATTGAATTTGTGCAATAACACCATTTTTAAATTTTGTGTATATGTGAACCATCAGAAAACATTTATAAAATGAGATTACTGACATTAATGTATGAATAACAAGTAAAAAAAATAATAATAATTTGCAGTATATCTTTCTGTTTATTCATATCTTTTTAAAATATGATGGACATTTAATAATGATTTTAAGAATTAATTTTATCAGCACAATGATTAGTTACAATGTATAAATTAGAAATTTATTGAATTAGAAAAATACACATTCATAATTAAAAGTAGATACTGTTATGAAGCTTAGTTTTATGTACGTGCATTAGGGTGGCCCGTGGCTGTTGTGTGATATTCCCAGAAGTTAGAATTTGACCTCTCTCACCCTCTATCTCAGTTTCAATTGACACAAGAAAGTTGGTGCAATTGGACAACTGCTGGGCAGCCCTCAAATGCCTTGAATTTGAAAAATAATACATGCAACAAATAATTCCATTAAAAAGTGGTATACTGTTCACTCTCTCAACCGTCTTCTTTTCTCCTCTAAAAGAAATATATGTGACACTTCCAGGCAGGAGTTTATTCAAAACATCCTGAAATAATATGAAAAATATGTAACATTTTAGATAACAAAAGAATTACAAAGACAATTTTTACAACAAGAACCTGTTTTATTACAACATTCATTTCTGTAAAATCAAATCACAATTTGAATAAATGAACATTGAGCGTTATTGTTTCCTGTAAGAGGATTTAATAGCAGTATTTTTTTACGAATTTTGGCAATGATTTGTAAAGAAAATTGTTTAGCAGTTTCATCTTTTGTGAGAATGTTATCCTGTTTGACACATCTTTTTGCATCGTCTTTTACTACAATAGTCTTCTCAAGTTTTTATTTCCACTTTTGCAATCTGGACCATCCTTCCATGTTGGAGAGATTTTAACAAAAAAATCTGTAAGAAAGATTTTGTACCAAGATTTACAAAAGACCAAAGCTTGATGTTTGTTGTAAGGGAAAAATTATAATTTCAAACAGAAGGTACCTCATTAGTTATTTTTTTTTCTTCCACTTCTTAATTTCTGCTCCCAACATAACTTGGGCTGTTTTGTTGCTATTGAGGTTAACCACTGTTGGAAAACTCATCAAACAAGGTTAGACACCATGGCTTTGGGAATTAAAAAGTACCTATTATAGTCAAAAAGTTATTTTCCCTTGTAAGATAACTAAAATTGATCTTGAAATAGCTATCTCTTTATTGATTGTGAATGAGTATATGGTCTTTTCCATTCATCTAGCATGACCTAAGCTCCTGGAATTAGAAATAATGTCCTAATCTTTGGAATGTTGCCAAGAAAGACCACCTTTTGTTCCAGCAATTTTCACTAATCACCTTGCAGTTGTTTCTACAGAGGAACTTGGGAGTTTAGGAAATCCAAGAGTGATAGAACAGATATCATTAGGAACTTCATTGCTACCCTTTAAATAAATTTTCTTGACAAGTTTTGGTTGGAAATCTTTGATTCGGTTGAAATGCTCTGTACTTGGACCAAACGTTTCACCAATCCAGTGAGTTGAAACTGCTACTCAAAACAAACTCAAAAATGTGATGGTCAAGGTTGATACAATAGGTCATAATTGAACAACTTTTCTGCATTTAAATAGACCCAATTTACTCAATCTGTGTGGCTTCCTGTATCACAGAAAAGTCAACTGAGCATTTATCAGTTATACCTCACTTCTCTGCTATACAGGATTTCGGAGACTATCAGCAATTGCTCATTGCCTTGAAAAGTTATTATTACTGCCAGTCTATCAATATTATAAAAACATTTGAGTTTGGAAGCAACTTTCCATCCCAGTGCAACATAAATGTTTGAACAATTTTTTAGATTAAATTTGACCTGAATTTCTGCTGCCTTCTTAAGTATGTATTACAACATTATAATTAACATAGAGCCATTTTTAAATTGACAAAAGTGGACCAAGAATATTCCATGAAGATATCAGTTCGATAGATGGCAATTCAAGGCAACGAACAAAGGTGAGCAAATTAAGTAATAAATAGAAAATGAGTGGAATAAGTAAATAAATTTTCATACCTTGAAAATATTTTAAGTGTTTTTAATCAAACTCGGGAAGACATAGAAAACAAACTTAATAACTACAATAGAATATGCGGAACTATTAAGAGACACTTTGGGACCTGGACCTGGACCTGGACGTGGAAACAAAACTGAAACTCTTCAATATAGCTGTTAAACTTAAAATCATGATTGCCTCTGAAATATGGGTAATGAAAGAGACAAGCAAAACTAGAGGTAGCACATATGGGATTTCTAAGATACCTCATGGGAATCACAAGAAGAGAGGCTGAGAAATAAAGACATCAGAAAGAAATTGAATTCCGAAGGTTTAGTAGAAGTGATAGAACACTCACAAAGGAGATGGAAAGATCATTTACAGAGAATGACCAACAACTGACTGCTAGAATGAATCTGTAAGTACAAACCAACAGGGATCAGAGATGGAGACATCACGGAGGATCAGAGGTGACAATAGAAGGACCACTTGGAAGACTAAAAATCTACCAAGAATACTGTAATAAAGCAATAGAAGCAGGCTGTAAAGCCTAATTTCTGGTCAGTTCATGATGATGATAGTAATTAACATTATAAAAACGGAATGGATATAAAACGTAGTACCTAATTTTGAGTAAATATAAAAATAAACAATTAACAACTATCATAATCATAATACACCACATCACTAAATATGCACAGAAAATATTCAAACCTTCACCCAGAAGGTTTAAGTGCTTTTAATTTTATTGTAACTGTACTAGATGGTGCTTCAGAACAAAATTGCGCTTTTTAATACAATTTCCATTCAAATTGTGTTCCACCTGGGCTTATTGTTGCTTTGTAGTGTGACGCAGGGCACGGCCCAGGAGAACTGAACGTGCGCGAGAGACAAAGGGAGACGGACAGGCGCAGAGAGTGATGGTGACACATACAAAAAGAGAGACAGAAAGATATAATGACAGAGAGAAAGATAGAGACAGCGAGAAACAGAGTGGCAGAACGAGACACAGTCATACAGACTGAGGCAGAGACACTGTAAGAGAGAGACAGAGTTAGAGACGGAAACCTTTTTTTTTTAACAAAGGATGAATATTGAGAAGACAAAAAAAGAGAGAGGGGGGGGGAAAAAAAGCAAACGGGGAACGCAGAGTATTTTGCTCGTGCAGTTAAAAAATGAAAGGATTATTCAGGACTATCATTGAATGGTACTTCAATTCAACTGCTAATGACTGTTAATGACTGACACTAATGATGGTATTCACTCAGATCTTTGGTTCAGCCATCTAATAAGGTTTTCATTGTTATCTCCAGGCCAATGGTGATTTACTAACTCAATCCTTGGCAATGTAATCATCTTTCCAGAAAATTCCTGATTAATTACTTATTAATTTCTAATGGGAAATAAAGATCTATTTGTTTTCTGATTAATAAGATTTTATTTTGTAAGTTGATAAATATTGGCTGCCAGATCATATCATTTCAAATGCAAGTGACATGTCAGAAAAGAAAAAAAATGGAGGAGAAAATTAAAACTAAATTTCAGACATGTTATGTGGAAACTAAGGGATACTGAGGGAAGATCAGTTTGGGGAGAAGTCTGCGTGATGAATCCTATGAAGAGTTGTCTCACTGGACAGCAATACTACTTTCTGAAAGAAAAAAAGTTGGAAAATATGGTCAGGACACGCAAAGCATTAATTTGTTTTCATCATGTTGTCATAGGAAAGAAATCCACTCAAATTAGAATGAGATGAGAGCTTTAATATGTAATTAACCCACCTGTATGTAAACATGGACAGAATGTTAAGGCCCATTCACAATCCAAACGTAAACATAAACATAATGCATTGACGTAAACATTAACTTAAGTGATAAACTGAAGTATTCACAATGACTGACATAAACGTAAGCAAAATATAAGTTTCTATTGGCTGTGAGATTCTGGTTTACTATAGCTGGATGTGGGAATCGATTTCAAGGTATCGACTGTGTCCATGGCCCATGTGGCGTTCTACCGATTTCGCTCCAATTTTGATTCTCGATTTTGAGTTACTGTTCTGTGATAGGTTCTTTTCTTATGTCTTACTTCATCATAAGCACAGAAGCTTGCAAGCTTTTAAGTTAACGTCTTACGTGTTGTGCTTATTCGAACGCATTGTGGATGAGTCAGTTTATGGACGTAGTCCTAACTTTTATGTTATGTTTGCATTATGATTGGGCCTTTACGGTATCGAGGAACTGCTGCTTAACTTTGTTCGACCCGGACGCCCTTGTAAGGACTCTAATATCATTTTATTGAGCAGCGACGACGCTTTCGCTATCCATTTTCCACAAATTGTGCCCTCGTAGATCCGCCTCTGGCCTGGTGGCTGCCCACTCAGCGCAGTCATTGGGGATGCAATGTTGTTGTTTTTATAAAATCGTCGATGGATTTAACGATTTTTTTAAACCTTTATTTTTAACAACGATGTTTTTATGCGGTCTATATTTTTTAAATGAAAAATGCCCATCAACAAAGTTCTAAATTAAATAGGTGTACAGACTAAAGAGATAAGGGTGAAAAATAAAATCAAGTTTTCCTCAATAAAGGAGCCTTAATTATTTTTGAATTATCGAATCAAATAATCCAAGTTTTGTTAATTGTCCTGATGAACTTTTGACTTTTGTTTGTTACGTAAATCTCAATTAAAAATTAATAAATTTTCAAAATAAATTCCCCCGCGTAAACTTCGGTCGTTACTAATCCATTTTTAAAACATCCATGTGCAATAACACCCATAAGTTTGCGTCGAAGTTTTAAGAACATCGATATTTTCGTTTCGAGGATCGAAGTATGGAAAGATTGATATTTTGTTGGCCATGTCGCATGCGCGGGAGCGAGAGGCGGGAGGGCGTCTGGGCTGGGTTGAGCGTAAAGGGATGGCGACGGGGGTCTGCGCAGAGCACGAGCGAGGAGCTGGTGGCGGCGACGGCCTACCTGGAGCTGTGCGTGCGCTCCGTGACGGAGCCCGGCTTGCTGCGCGTCTTCGTGCGCTTCCTGCTGCGCGACTGCTACGACGACACGCGCATCCTGCACCAGCTCGTGCTGCGCATCCACTCGCGCACCAGGGTACGTCCTCGCGCCGGCCGCAGTGCCTCTGCCGCTTTGAAAGGCTCCTGGGACTCTTTTCCACGCCAATGCCAAACCTGCGAGCCAGGTTTGCGCCGGTTTCAATTCGACGCCGCCGTCGCTGTGAACCCACGGGTTGTTTCACTGTGGGGAAATCGCAGCGGCGATGGTTTCACAAATAGCACACGATAGGCTTGCGAGAATGGGTCTTTTAAAGGTGTAAAAGCACGAGCAAGCCCGACTTGCATGTCTGGCTCGCGCCGGTTGTACTTCTGTCACCGCCTCAGAGTTTTTTTTTTTTCTTTTTTGTGCTAGTTATAAATTTGTCTCCACTACAGTGTTTCCACATGTTGTTTCACTGTGTGGGCAACGCAGCAGCGGCAAATTTACGAATAAGCATAAGGTATGCTTGCAAGGCTCGCATGATTGGCTCGAGTCCGTTGCAAATCTGACACAGCCTTCGAGGTACGCACGCCTACCTTGTGCTACATGTAAATTTGTCACCGCTGCAGCGTTAGTATAGGTTGTTGCTCTGTGAGAACGTGGCGTGGCAGATTTACAATCGGTACATGCTAAATTTGCAAGTCTCGTGTGATCAAGAATGGAGCCCTTAAAGGCATCCATGTGAGTAACATGGCTCGCGCTGTTTGAAAATCTGTCGAACCCGTCGCTACCTGTTCCATTGTAGAAATCATATGGCAGCGACAGCTTTTCCAAACCGCGCGAGACAAGTATACGGGCTGGGCTTACTCATGGCCGGCCGCGTTAGGAAATGACCCTGAATACATCTATAGTGCAGAATATTCGAGCACCAAACCCACTATATGGTGTACACGTAGTCCATGTAACTCGACATATACAAGTATCTGGAAGTACGATTTGCACCGCGCTATTGCACCATGACTGATCACCACCTTTTGCGGTAACAGTAAGGAATGGGTATGAGAGCCGAGCCCCGGCAAGCCATTTTTTTGACGGTGTACTCAATTTATTCAAAACTATTATCTCTCACTAATTGCATGTCGTCATATTCTGAAGCGTATACACGTGAATTAATATTTGTGTAAAATGTACAATCTAACAATTTGTTTTAAAAGCTCGTTCAAAAATATCGAAGGGGATGTCCAAATAGGCAACCCAAGTTTGTCAGAGATCCATTGCGTGCCGAAATGAATCAGTATTCTGAAATTTTATGTTAAAGGTGAGACTGGTGAAGTAATGTTCATATGCAGTGTTAGGTTACGTGTGTATACATGTGGTGTTTCGTTCGTTGATTGCATTTGCATTTGTTTGTTTATGGGACTAATATTGCGATACCGAAACACTGTATACAAACTACTTCGTCGTACGCGCTACTACATGACTAGACTAACCTGCTGGAATTTCGTATTCCAGTTGGTTAGTTGTTATTTTTGTAACTATCTGTTAGAGTTCGCGCGCGCGCTCCCAAGTTGGCGCTTAGTTATTTTGATTCGCGCTGTGCAAAAACTCACTACTCCAATGGTGCTCTGAACTGGAAAAGGATCTTACGAAATAAATGATGATACTTCCTAAATAAAACTGCTATTGTTACCAATATTGTAGTATTTAGAAACAAATTGAAGAGTTTATTTCGAAAGTGGCTGATCGCCATTTACGTTTGTTTTCTAGTTTTCACATTAATATATTCTTAAAACGCTTCTCCATCATGCTGCAAAAATTGTTTTCAAAAATGGCATCTCTCCTGTGTTATGGCGGTATTCGAATACCGTTGAACCCTATCTTGCAGAAAGGATGAGGCTAAATTTGTATGTTTTCACTTCCTGAAAAATTGTTCTCCTTCACACAAAATGATACGTCGCTTTGGAAATAAGCTCTTCAATTTGCGACATAAAAAGCGCCGATGTACTGGTATTGAAGTGAAAATGCCGACATTATGTAAGAAGTAACGCATTGACTAAATCGAGCTCGTGAATCAGCCCTGCTTTGTGTACCACGTCACAACACGACTTCATTCAGTAAATCATTCACCATTACAGCTATCCGAGCCTGGAATAAATTACCAGCGAGACTAAAGCATTTAAATACTTTCGGCAAATTCAAACCTGAATTAACCACATGGGTAAGGAATAACGACATATAAAACGTTATTAAACGCGTTAACGTCTTCTTCAATCTCCAGACTTCACCCACTTCCAAGCGCACGGTCACCGCCCCCGTTAAACACCCTCTATTTCCACTTTTTATTCTCAATATTCTACCCCATAACTCATTGCTCTATCCCATCTTCCATTCCCTCTCACACCTAAATTATGAGCATTATTATTTTTCTGTGTACCCTAATGAAATTGTAATAAAAATATACAAAGTATTAGGATGTTCCAGATTTAAAAAATATACTTGTAGCTATGCTTTGTCACCATCATTCAGATATTCACTACAATATATTGGCATAAGACAAAATTGATGTTATAGATACCCGCACTCTTTGGTATTCGTTCCTTAATACTGCCAGTATTGTACTGTTATAAATTACTTTTGATTATAGCTATAATGTATTGTGCTTCCTATGGTAAAAATTATTGTATATTTATGTTAAGTGCTACTGGTAAACTAAAAACGTGCTTTCTGTAACGTTCCTCAAATAACCTTTCACTTTTTTCGCCCTACTTTTCTTGTCCTTTTCTTCGCTTCTTTTTCTCTTCCCTTCTCCCTACCAAACGTTATCATTTATACTTTTGACCCTTTCCCCTGTACGTCTTTATTTCTCTTGCACGAAACTTCCCTTCACTACTCAGTATAACTACTCCAGTTCTATTAATGTTCGCCCTAGCCGCCATTCCTGATTTGAGGTTTTTCTGGTTTACTCAATCGCTTAAGGCGTATGCCGGGATAGGTCCCTAGATTTTTCTTCCCAGACGTAAATGTACAGCTTGTCCTCCCCTTTAAAAGGTTACGAACTCTTAAATGTAGTAAATCAGTGTAAAGCGCAAGAGCAGGCCCTATGGCCTGAGCCTCAGCCATTAATAAAGATATTATTATTATTATTATTATTAATTATTATTATTTTATGATTATAATTATTATTAAATTAATATTGCAGCTGGGCCTGGTGTCGCTGGCGCTGTTCGACTCGCTGGTGGCGCTGTGCTGCGAGGACGTGATGCTGGAGCTGGTGTTCCGCCACCTGGTGCCGTGCACGCACGTGATGCTGTCGCAGCGGCGGCGCGTGCGCGACGTGGACGCGTACGGCCGCTCGGCCGACAAGTTCCTGTCGCTGGCGCCGGCCTGCTGCCTGCTGCAGGCCTCGGTCTCCGCGCCCGCCACCTCGCCCTCGCCCGCGCCCGCGTCCGTGCCGCCCACGCTCAACCACAACCACCACCACCGGCGCTCCGTGTCCGACCACCAGGTGCGTACGTTCGGCTTCGCGGGATCGGCTCGTTTCTGAATCGTGTGGTCCGTTTAGCAGAAGAACCTTGATATCTCAAATGCTTATGTTTCTCTACGCAGTGCATTTGACCCGTTCCCAAAACTTTACAGCACGGTTATACCATTCCCTTGTAAGGATATTTTTCGAAATGGGCTGTCCAGATAAATACCGTCATCGGAATGAAAGGGGTGGGGTAGTAGTGGAATCATGAGTCGGCCTGTGATTCAGCCGATGTCAACATTCTTCATTATCATTGGGCTTGATTTAACGTCTTTTTACCAGCTAAGGTTTTCACCAACACATCAGCAATCGACATCACCCACTTTACACATTGGGGCAGCTGCCTTAGCCTCCCAAACCTTCACGCCGCAGTGGCTCGAAGGCCCTTTGCGGCCGAACCCACTTTCCGCTACGACACGTTGGCTCAAAGTGACATTTAGAACCTTTTCGACAGTTAGAGGAGGTGCAGTGATGGGCTGGTGGCGCATTCGTCGCATTTCGTAGACCAATTGAAGATGCATCCTCCACCCGTCCGCCGGCCGTCACATTCGTTTCGGCAGGGACGGGAATGGGAAGGATTGGGTGTCTTATTAGACGATGCATGGTGATGTGGAAAAGCTTCAACCATACATGCCACGGCTAAGCAGACCCGTGACCCTTTGAACCGAGACCGTTACAATGATCCGCCCTAGCTATCTTGGCCACCTAGGTCCTAAAGGTTATTTATTGGAAGATGTAGGGCTGAGGTGCCTACGGCAGTGTGAAAGAGGGATTGGAGAAATATTAATTTTGTTCAAGAATGCGAAAGCTTCTTCGGGTGCTGGGAGTGTATTGAGATTTATATTGTCGGGGTACCAACCGGACGCACAACCCCTACCTGAGAGGACCAGCACTTTTGTTCGGGATTGTCTCTCTTTGAGAGCTTCCACCAAAGCTCAGGGAGTTTCCCTTCCCTCTTTTCCGCTCTTCAGGGAAGGTTTAGTCAAGGCGACGGATCCAGCCAACACCTGTTCGCTCCCTCCAAGTTGGAGGCCGTTGGCGGGCAAGGGGGGGGGGCACTTATCCCGGCGGTCTCTTGTGTTTCGGAAGCGGTGACATGACCTAAACCCTGAAGGAAAGAAGAAGAAGAATGCGAAAGATGCGGGTTTGATTGTCGCACGCCATTGGTGTTTTCACTGTGCTGTTGTGTTCACAATGCTGTCTTCTGATTCATGTCTTATCGTTCGCCCAATCCAGTGAAAGGCAGTTGCAAACCACCGTTCATCATCTGCCTAATAAGGGAGGATAATATGCTCAAGCGTCCATCCTCGCGTCAGTGCAGCTCCACCAATTTTCGGAGCAAGGGCATCATTATCACCGGGAGGAGGAGGAGGAGGAGAACAATTCATAGAAGTGCGATTTGTTGCGCTAAATTTACCCTTAAAAATTCGAAGGTAAGTACCTGCACTACATTTTCCCGCAAGTAGAATGTGCAGACCTCTATACAGAGTATTAGGTGAATATTTAAGGTTGTTTCTCCGCCTTTCGCTCCTAATTATCGACCAGGACTGGCTCCGATGTCTCTCCCTGGAGCGTGACATGACCACGCAGGTTTTCAGCCCGTAGAATGTGAATTGCATCCAGCCGGCTTTGGAACCGCGCAGTGTGGTTTCGAAGCTAGAATATTACCCCCTTCCCCGTTACGCAGCTAGTTTATAATATTAAGTTTTATTGCACGAGTACATATTTTGAAAACAAGCGACGTTGGTAGTGAGTTTTCACATTTGTATGAATGCAATAAAGCAACATTACAAACAAGTTGCGTACACTATTTTTTTGTATAACAGCATAATATATTTATAAGAGAATGTAAGTTAATTTTGGGAAATAACTTTATTGTGACGTCGCAGATATTTGACATCTGTGCGAAAAAAGGCGATCGGCTGTTCAGTGTACCTTACCCTCCTCACGATGCTCTCATTGTGATTGACTGAATGTGTGATGACACAATTACTTGTGACATAAACGACAAATACGTCTTAAACGGTGCCGTAAAATGCTCTTTTATGAACTATTTCTTGTAACGATAAAGGTCATTTATATTGCTGGAATACATTTTTGATTTGTCGACCTCACGCACAACTTGGCTGTAAGGCGGGTAGTATCGGGGTCAGAAAGGCAGGGCAAATAAATCTAGGACGGTGGCAAGGGGTAGGATGAGTTGGCCACAGGGCACGTCAGACTGGGGAGACGATACATTTTAGTTAGAACGCGGTTCCTTTCCTCTCTGAATAAACGAATAAGGTTAAGAAAAATCCAGAAAAGAAAAAGGGATTTCGCTTTAAACTTTCAGTGCGATTTAAACGCACGGGTTTCCTCTAGTAATCTTTATGTGTCTTAATCGCCTTGTGATGTGAAGACAAGACGAACATTTGACGTGGCCGAATGTGAAAGAACGTGTGTGGTGTGTTGCAGCTGAGCTCGCTGCCCGGCTGCCTGTACGGGCTGCGGGTGACGGAGTCTCTGTACGGCAACTACCACGCCTACCTGTGCGACGCGCGCCACCGCGTGGCGACGGCCGCCGCCGCCTGCCGCCGCTGGGCCTACCGCTACGACGGCGAGGACCCTCCGCACGACGCCGTCCCGTCCCCGTCGCTGGGCGGCGGCAGCGCGTTCGCCTCCGTCGTCGTCAA